TTGAAGAAATAAAACGTCCTATAGAAAAAATTCTTTGTTTCTTTTTAATATATTTTGAGACAGAAATTAATGATACTTCGACTGAATTTTAACTTCTTTTCTTGAGAACTAAGATAATTTGCAATCAATCTGTTTTAATTGAATTATGAGTAAATTTAGTAATTGTAAAGGATTTCGTGAGAGTAACAGGCTTTCTGTTCCTTTATATTTTAACTTCACTTTAATAGTTATATTAATACTTCATTTTAAATAGAATATACACGAAAATTCGAGTTCATTCGAGACTGGTTGCATTCTAAGGGGGTGGAGCTAAGCAGTGGGCGGGGACATAATTTTCAAACTCGATTTTCTCCGAAACGAAGCGTCCTATGAAAAAAATTCTTTCTGCGTTTTCGATGTACTTTTAGTCATAGAATCCAATGATGTTTCGTTTAGCGACAAGTTCGAACTTCGATGTAGAACATTCGCGAAAATTCGAGTTCTTTCGAGACGGATCCAGCAAAAACGGAATCAAGTCCGAGGCAAATCGATACCATTTACGTAAGGCGCCCCTCATTTTTCACGGCGCGAGGCGCGCGCCGCAAGAAATCAAGCCTCTTTCCGCTGTAATTGCGCACTTCGGAAGCGGTCTCGATGCGCTACACTTTGCATTTCCAACCGACGCGGCAACTTTCTCGCTAGGCTTTGGTGGTCGTTTGCGATTTGACTTAGCCAAAAAAGTTGTTCAGGAACGATTGTATAATCAACAATAAAGGATTTTCTACGTTTATAGAATCGAAGAATTTTATTCTTTCACTATTGAAATTAATTAGAATTAATAATAGTTTCGATAGAACCAAAGTAACATGTCAATTGGAAAGAATAATACTATAAAATGACTGCAAAAATAATTTATTAGTATCATACAAAGATACCAATATTCAAAGATTAATATTTTACTCGTTCAAATTTAACTTTCATACCGATATATCTTATCGATTAGTGATATAGTAATATTTCTTCTGTTTTTCGTTGTTTTTCAAATAAAATAATGAAGTAAACGAATAAAAAGTATTTCTATAGAAAAATTCCTTAGAGGAGAAAATAGTGGAATATTTTCCTGCAGTTAAAAATAATAATTCTGCAACGGTGATAGTATTTTCCTCGATTCAGCATCGTATCAATGATCGTCGTGATCCTAGAAATTCGTGTTTCATAATCGAAGAATCGATACAAATCGCTGGAAAACGTTCCGACAAAGCAGCAAATCGTTCGAACAAGAGGAATAGTTGCGTTAATGCGAAATAATACGAAAACTTTCTCCGCGGTGTAATAAAAATAGCGGGTTCCACGCGAAACACGGAGGCAAGCGAATCGTAACACGCGTTTAAACCGATCGAATCGATTTACATAAACCGCACTCGCACTCCCGGATTTATATAATCGGGTTATGCTGAAAGTGTAACAATGATAGTACCCGGATATCCGGATATTTTTGCCCTGAGACGCGTTTCCAGCTCGAAAAATGGGAAACACCTGCCGATGACCGGGTTGATTTTGACCCAAATAAACACATCTTGAAAATATTACGAAAAGGTGGCAAGAAAATAATGTGGCTCGTGTATTTCTATATATCTCTCAAACTTAACAAGAAATATGATCTATAAAAGCTTAATTAAAATCAAACTTCATTGATTAAAATTAAAATTAATTTCCTGTTCCTTTCGAGAGATTCATTTTAATTTTAATTGATGAAGTTTGTTTTGAATTAATTATATAGAATATTATCCTCGGAATTAAAATGAAAAGTATTATTCTCGGAATTAAAATGAAAAGTATTATTCTCGGCAGACCTACGATTCATTGTAACAAGTATTCCCTTTGTTGTCTCGAACTCATTCAGAACATCGAACACTACAGAAAGTCCGTTCGAACGATCGATTAAAATAATGCATTGTAATTAATTCGTATCACGCAATGAAATTCTGCTCTGAAGCCAACAGAATAATGACATATTAATAAGGAAAATCGATTGAATGAGAATGCATGTAAATGAGAATTTAACGATATTTCATACCCATCAAGTAATTATAGGCAATCTGCTCGATATACTTATAATTTAAGCCTTCTAATAGAATACTTTTAACACTTCCCTATACTGTCAAGACAAAAATAGACAACGAAAGTTCGAGATTTTCCAATTACAAACCTTAATAGAATCTGTTTCCAATTAGTCCCTGAATTAATCTTCTACCACATTTTACATCACTGTAATAAATCTCTAAATACACCGAATAATTAAGTGAAATTTTCTTCTGCTAATTAATTTTTCAATTAATTTTAAACCAGACTTTACGTCACTGTCATAAGTCTTTCGCTAAATAGTTAATTATTCAATTCTGTTGAATGTAATATCCTGAATAATCAAATGAAATCCGCGACGTCCAAGCTGTTCGTCGTTTCTATTTGAATTTTCGGTTAATCCTCGCGTAAAGTTCACGTGAAAGGTTCGTACCCTAGCCCCGGGGAGCATCTCGCCGGTAGAAAGAAGCGACACGACGATTAACGAGCAATAATATTCGATTGACGCGCGTTATTTTGAGAAATTGTCACGCGACAGCCTTGTCCCGATTTTTCCGCGGCTAACCCGTTGGATTTTGCAACACGCTCGCCGGGGTCCCGTCTGAGGTTATCCGGGAGAAAAAAAAGAAGCACGCGACTGTATAATTTGCAAGTGAGTCGATCGTAGATCATTACACTCCATCATCGATCCACGATAAACGGGACCGTAGCATCGATCGTTTCCTTCGTTTATTATTCAGTCTCCATTTGACTGTGATTTCGTTAGTGCAGTGGTCGGCCATATTGGTTTCGGCTGTTGATTTCTTAGGCGTCACTAATTTTCTTAATAATTAATAATAAAATAAGCTTCATCGGGTGATTAAATAAATAAAATGATATATTGAAGAATAAAAAGTAATAATAATGTTTTAAAGTTAATCAGATTCTCGACGAATGATAATGATCCTTCGACTAATCAACGGATTTTCCATTTCTATCAGTCATTCTTCTCAGCCTCCATCATTAACTTGTTAAGTAGCGTGACGAGGCGATGAAAGAAATGGGATTTTTCAGAAATTTATTAAAATTCCGCGGCCGTTTCGAAAGAAAATGACGGTAACGCTTCCAAGAAAGCAGTCTGGTTTTCCTTGTTAGAGAACGCGTCACGAGCGTTTGCTGGAATTTTCGTTGCAACTTCTTTCCTCGCTGGAGATTCTATTACGTGCTCCGTTACGGCACGCCAGAACCGCCGTCGATTCGTTCCATTGGCGTCGGATCGCTTTCCGTGAAGTCTCTCTCGTCGCTTTACGTGACCCGGGTTGGGAAATTCTTGCAAATGGATGTTGCTCGGAAACGGATCGCGTCTCTTCTTGCCTTTACGGCCTGTAAAAATCAGCGGAACACGAAGTTCCATAGAAGCAAATTGTAATTCGCAAATTATTCTCCGTTCACTGAAATACACCGCTCAACTTTCGTACCGCTGGACTCTCGTGAATTCGTCTGTTTCATTTTCTTCGAAACGTTTCATCGTCGATTACGGCTTCATTTGAGCGCGAACACTTCAGGAGCCGTTCTTTGAACGCTTCGAGAGCATTCCGCGGCAAGATACAAGTTTCCTGGGATTTCTTAATTAAAACGAAGTTACTTGGTGATTCGAAATTAGCGATGAAACTTCGGAAAAGATGTTTTATAGAATTATAACACGTCGAAATGGAAGAAATATGGAATTTCGTAATTTGTGTTACGAAGAGAGTAAAGAAACGTGGATATTCTTTCTCGAAAACATCCTTTTTCCTGATTTTATATGCAGAATGTTTCGAAAACACAGTTAAGAATGTTTAAATACATTGCAATCTGCGAAAGAAATATGTAAGAAGTTGATAAAGCGTTTAAAGATGTAGCAACTTTCAGTTACGAAACGTAAGGTCGCAGTAATCCAATATGGCGTCCGTACAATCTAATTCCCAGTTGAAATCACCGCGCAGTGTATTTGCCAATCGAACAATTCAATTATGACTAATTCCTATGGAAAAAAAGCAGCTCGATTCAATGTAATTACACCGAGTTCCTTTAAATCTCTTAATTTACGTCAATTTTTAGACGGAAAGCGGTCGCTGACGGTTTTTGCGTATAGGTTAGGAGGCGGCCGCCATTGTTACGGCAATCGTTTCTCAATGACATTACGTGGCGCGGAGCGAGACAGAAAAAATGGAGCGACAAGGGGTTCGACACGTTCTTTTTCCTATGCGAGCGTAATCGCTTACCGATCGCTGTTTCTGTTCGCCTTGACGTCAAAGCGAATTGAATGACGTGACTGCCGTGATAATGGTTTTTTAAGTTCCGTTTTGGATCGCAGTCGCGGCCGATCGGTCGATGAAAATTCAGTTCGGTATCCTTTGGCATAATTCCTACCATCCATTAACAAATTTAATAATCATCTTTAAGTCTTTCACTTCGTTATCCATAATATGAACTTTTATATTCCTTTCTGTTCGATGTAATAATGTAATTAACCCTTTGCTTTGTAACAGCGTGTCAGACTCATGATATAAATGTGAGATATTTTAAATATAATATTTCCCTAAAACGACATAAGAAATATAAGAAACGTTATGGCGTAAGATTAGTATAAGATTTCCCAATTTTAATTAGAGAAACTATAAAAATTACTTCGTATTGCTGATAGATTACAAAATTTTGACGCTAAGGGCTAGTTGAAACTTACAAACGACACATTTATCGCCTCCGGAGAATGATTTGAAATTAATTAGCAATGTCGCAGATTAAAAAATGGATGGTGTGCTCGGGTCTATCGATCATTTCAGGTTTACGCGGCATGTGTGCTCGCAATCTCGCGATTTGCGTTTCCACCCACGTTCGTTCGTGGGCCGGTGAAACGTGACGAGGCACACGAATGCGGAGGACGCCGCGGATCGACAATATTTTCCGCGCGAGTAATTAATCACGGCTGTCGCGGTATCTACAGGTGCGAACAATGCCTGTCGAAAAATGACAATTGATAAACAACGAGGCTTCATCGGAAACATTTCACTGAAAAATGAAGAAGACGCGCGATTTCCGGTTTTGTTCAAGTGGGAAGTAAGTGTATATGATTCTCAGATAACATTTCTCTTCAAAAAAGACTATAAAGCGTAAAGATAACAGGAAAGCGATATTTAATTTATATTCAAGAACAAGTAATTAATATTTCAATTTGTCAAATTCAATGTAAATGACACGATGTCGTAAGATAAACGGTTGATGATTGCTTTTTTCCGTATATTGCTGTTTTTCCTTTTACTCCGTAATAACGGGGCAAATCGATCCGCCATCTTGTCGGCGCGATCGGTATACAGTGTAATCGTTCGGAACGCGTTCAAATTTGCAACGAGCCGCGATTTCCAATAATATTTGACAACTTTCTACCGATTCCGTCCGTTCGCCGGGATTTACGAGCACGAATGAAAATTTATGCGCCATTAAACCGCGAGTGTGTAACGCCGCGGTGCCGTTTTACGGTGTCCTTTTCGAACGATCCAGGAACGGACGCTTTGTTGTGAAAGCTGTACGTCAATTCCGACTGACGACTGTATTTTACCGGGCCAATTTAAGGCCGAACGATTTTTCGAACTGCTACATAGAAACGTCCAGATTGAAATTGCAATGGTGATTGATCGACGAACAATTCGGATCGATTGATTGCCGTGATTTGTTTGAACAAAGCGGCCGATCGTAAAATAATTGAAATGTGGATTTTATGTGGTGGATATTATTTATTTTTGTACAGTTGATTTTCGAATGTTGGACATTTTGAGATTCTGTATGATAGACAGAAGAGTAATGAAATTTTGGTAGGTTTGGGGAATTGTAGAGGTATGATAAAATTAAGAATGTAATTAAAATTGTCCTCTGTTCTAATTTTTGTATATCATTATAGATGACTATCTGTATCTACACAAATATTTGTATACTGAAAGTTTTGAATAATTTTCTTTTATCAGATCAAATAATAGATAAAATAGAAAGAATATGTAACACTGTTTGGAAAATATTAATTAAGTTCGACGAGTGGATTCATTTGGAGGGAGATACCTGTAGAAGTGTATTAGGCTTAACGTTCTACATGACGGAAGCGGTAATTTATAACAACTACAGAAGCGAGCCATTGGGGAGATCAACGCCAGAACCAGCCATACTTTCTTCTAACACAAAAGAAACAGAATTCTAGATTTCTTACAAACTGTACGCTCTGATTCTCCCAACGACGACCAATTAAACCAAATATTGTATACGATACACAGAATGTGGACCTTCATGCATTTATAATTTCTGAAGACCTTCAACAGTCGTCAATATAGAAATTAACGTACAATTTATTGTATATATTACTTTTCATTCGACGGAATTTACGAAGCAAGTTAAACATTTTTCAATGTCAGTTCTTGATATCACTATTAAAACGTGAGAAGAGGAAAGACATTCGAACTGTAATCTATATCATTTTAAATGTCAGATATTTTATGGTAATTTGACTGTTTTAGCCGTTCCATTAGAATCTCGATGCAAATTGATCCTTAAGTCAAAACCAAATTTATAGAGTGCAATTAAAATCGTAACGAAGTAGGTAATAAAGTCTATACACTACTCTCTTTATTGTTTCTGTTACAGCCATCGTTATTACTGTTGTCATTGTCGTTATTATCATTACTATTATTACTATTATCACAACAGAAATTTATTTACCCAGTTACCCCTGCTCGGTACATATTCGAACGTCAGCAATCTTCAGATTTGATATCGTTAAAAATTTGAATTCGTTAATATTCAACGGAAAATTCTGCATTTCCCAATTGAAACATACATTCCACGCAACAGAAATTTATTTACCCCTGCTCGGTACATGTTCGAACGTCAGCAATCTTCAAATCTGATATCGTTAAAAATCTGAATTCGTTAAAAAAAAGGTAGTAGTAGGCAAACGTCCCCTTCGACGGTGGACTCGTCGATAACGAGTAACACGTAATTCCTCTCTGTACCGAGGTCAACAGTTTGTTACGGGCACGATGATGTCCGAGGGGGTGCAAACACCGGGCCGGTTGATTGACTGGCCGACCGGCCGGCCCGGTCGCCGCGACGCACATTCAACGGCATACCTTCGACACGATAACAAGAACAATCGAGTGCATTAAAAGTAATGGCACAACGATGATACTCTGTCGGTGCATTAACCGGTGTTCGCGCTGGCAAAGTCACGTCTCCTTCGGCCGCCGGCACAAAAGAAAGACGGGGACAATTCAAACTTGCTCGCATTCACCAGTTGAAAAACATTGATCGCCAACCCTTGCGCATAAAGGGTTTCGGGGACTGCACAACGACAGAGATGGAATTAATAAATGATTAACGTTTCAAGTGGACGTTAGTGTATTGCAATTTGCGTAGTGCTAAATGAATTTCTTTAATAATTTCTCAGAGAAACATTTGTTATCTTTCTAATAATTGCAAAAAAGACATCAGGGGTCATTTGACTCGTCTGGTAGTTTTAGTGTTAATCTTCTTGTTCAGTTTGTGCTTTTCGCTTAGTTTATGTTTATTTCGTTTAATATCCTTGCGTTTCGTTCCATTTTCTTGTACTTTCATTTTCAGTTTCTTATCTCTTTCTGTACTTTATGATTTTCAGGGGAATTGAATTGTAATGCAGGTAGAGATATGAACTCGATTGTAATTGTTGTCCGTTTGGTTCTTTGGGTGTTGTTTTAAGAATAGAATTATGAAGGTAGACGTGAAATTTGGTAATCAGAAAGTTTGCGTCACCTTTTCGTAGCTCGTTAATTCGTCATGAATTGATTTCGGAGAAAGTATCGGGACGTTTTACAAAAATAGAAATCCATTCTGAAATGTCTCAAACTTTCATATGTAAAATTCAGATTCTCCCGATTATTCACTGTCGTCTCGAACATAATTCACTTCCTCCTTGCAGATGATCGGTTAATACAATAGAGTTTCGACATTTTTTAGAAAATTACATTATACACACATATACACACATTCTAGATAATTTCTCTTGTTACACAAGTAACGACTGAGTTTAAACAATTGCAGTGGATAGTAACTATTTCCAAATTGTTTGAACACTTATACATTACACGAGTCTCCTTACAATTTATTTTTTAATCTAACGTATAAAAGAAAACTGAAAATTTCGAACTTCTACTATCTCGAACGACCATTCGTAACAATCTATAATAACAAACATATTTAGAAACATTGAACAACATTTAATACGATTAATATGCAATTCCTATAAAAATCGTAAGAATAGATTATTTTCAGCTTCTTCAGACATTCATTATAGTACTGAAATGAATCTATTTATTTTCAAAATCATTTCGAATATTCAATGCTTCGAAGATATCAATAATTGCTGAACAAAAAAATCGAAACCAGTCATTTTGATTGGTACGTAGTTCTAGTGTTAACCTCTCGCGCTGGAAAGACGTCCGACGCACGTCGAGACGTTTCTGTTTCAAAATGGTCAACGATGTCTTTCACACATTGACAATCCCGTTGCATTACGCATATTAAACTCTTTCGAAATGTATCACTCTACATAAAATGATTAACAAACGGAGTTAATGTCCACACCCGCGTAAAATAGGTAAAAAAATTCATCGAGACTTTGTCGAATCTCTAAATTCATTTCCAGCGTAAGTGGTTGAAATCAAGGAAACACCTCTGATAATGAACAATAAAAACAAAATAGATAATCTTCGCAGTTCGGAAAATTCGAGACACAATAACCCTCCCTGTTTCTCTCGTGCAGCAATAAAGAAGCTTCCTGTAATTTGTTAAATTGTCTATATGCCAGTGATAGAGTGAACGAGTTAGCAAGAGAGAGAGAGAAAGACAGGCAGACAAGAGAACAGCATCAGTGGTCTCGTTAAAACGTCAACTAACGTTTGTTTGCGATGCAAGAATCCTCTTTAGGCGGCCGGGGAACGATGCTGCGCACGCGTTCCGGTGCGCCAGGCGAAACTAAACTCGATAAGCGATCTACGGGAAATCGAAAGTTCGGAAATCGAGCAAATAAAACCGGAGAACGGGAGCAGGAACGTGGCCGGGACGATTACGTCGCGGCTGGAGCGCTCCAACAATATCTAGCTTCTGTCTTTCCATTTACTAGTTAACTGCGTTTGACGAGTATATACGTCATCGAAACTTGTCCTGATTTTTTTCAACGATGAATTATTTACTTTGTTAGATGAACATGCAGTTCTTCCTTGTTTTGCTTTGGGTTCGATTAAAATATGTCTTAGATGCATTCGTCCAGTGTTTGACGAGTATATACGTCATTCTTTGATTTTATTGTATTAAAAACGAGAGATTTTCTGAACTTTGATACTTATTAAATTGATTTAAATTTGTTGCTATTAATTTGATTTAATTGAAATAAATTTAATTTATTTTTTATTATCTCTAAGGTTATTTAATGTTTGTATACAGTAATTGTTTCGAACTTAGTATCATGAAATTCATGGAGTTTGATTACTTTTTTAATAAAAGATCGGTGTAATTCTACCTAATAAGGTATTTCTTTCATTGCTTCTGATATTGTTAAATTAATAATTGATTACTTGTTCGATGGCCTATAAATTAACTTGTTTTAATAGGCACATCATTTTTATATGCTAGTATATTGTTACTATAAATACTAGCATCAACTATTATTAAAAGAAACAAAATTTAAGCACCTCAATTACTACACGATAATCAAAATTAAGAAACATTATTCACACACTTGTAAACCTCCCAAATATCTACCAAACAAATTATAAAACCACGAGATCATGAAATATTCAATAAACCCTCTAAACACTAGTTCTACCAAGCATTCGACATAATTAACAAGCACATCTGCAAACCATAAAGCTACATTAATTAGTTACACTAATTCTCCATACATTAGGTAACAGAAACTATTTCCAAATAATTTCAAACACTCAACACAATAAAAAACATAACGTTCAACATATTCGAAAGAATATCCAAATATCCGTATTTTTAATCGCAAAATAAGAAAATGAGAACCGGTTATTCTAACTATCACAGTAGTTCCACCGTTAATAATTAGTTTAGTTTCTAAAAACCCTAATCATCGAATAGGTTGTCAAACGATATTCTACACACCTGTATCGTTCCACTAATGTCAATCAAACAAATGGGCGAGGTGTCGGTGAACGTGACTCAACAGGTGAAAAATCGAATACATCTTTGACACCCGATTTCGTAAAACGATATGCAAAATTGTTGAATAGCTGAACAGCCATAGGTTCGTCGCAGTGTCGTTACACCGGTGAAACTTCAGCCAGTCGACGCGTTCGATGCTCACAAACACGATCGTTCCCCGGTCTCAAGTAGCTCAAAACAATTGAGGCTCGCTTTTCAACGCGACTCGGAGCAACGAACCGGGCTGCACAGAGCTGGCCATCGTTCAACTTAACCCTGGACACGCGCACGCACGTTTTTTTCCCCGAATTTCCATCGCCTTTTGCGATAAGAGAAACGAGCGTGCGTGTTCTACTAACTTCGATTTTCGGTTTCGAACGCTTTTTCTTTTTTGCAACGGACAATTAAGCTGATCGAGCGATTTCTCTGCTGGGAATCCTTCGATGGAATAATGTGGAATGTTAATATTCGATGAGATTTTCATGTGGGTAATTAGTTGATGTTAATGTTAAATTGTGAATTTTGATGTATATAATTATTTGATAATGTTGAATTAGTTTTCGATCTATATGAATATTTTACGTTTTATATTAATATTCAATTTGGTTTGGATATGTTGGAATATTTGATAATAATGTTCAATTAGTTTTTTTATGTATATGAATATTTTATATTAATATTCAATTAAGTTTTTAATCTATATGAATATTTGGTATTGATATTCAATTAGTTTGTGATGTATATTTGATGTTATTCAATTAGGTTCTTTATGTATATAATCATTTGTTAAATAATATTCAATATGATATTGATGGTACTAATAATATTAGAGTAATGGTAAATATATATAAGTAATTTACGCTGGTGAATGTTTAATAATATTTCAGAATTTTAGCATAATTTTATGCAAGAACCTTATTAACTTGCTAATTAAGCGACTTGTAGACCGGGTATGTTTCATAGAAATATTTTTAGGTAAATATATTAAACAATTGGAAGTGAGTCAAAGATAAGGGAAAAATGATGAATATACTGGTCTTGGTTATTCAACAGGTTGAAGACTAGAAACTACAGCAGTCACCTATGTCCAGGTATACCAGTACAAGATTCCTATAAAATTTACGTTGAAAAAAGTAACAGTTCACCCCATAAAAATACAATTTCATTAACATCCTCTCCAATAATCAAGTTTCAAAATATTGCACTGGAATTGAACTTAACATGAACTTAATATTCCAAGAATCTGAAAAAACCTATCAACCTTAACTATCACATATCATCCCATAAAAATAAAAACGTCACTCAATCTACCAGTACAGTCTACCGGTTTCCAAAAACAAAAATCAATTTTTATCTCGACAAGAACAACTTTTCCAACCCCAAAATCTCCAATAAAATAAAATAATTAAACAGAAACTCATGTATCTCAAGAACAAATTTTCCCTAAGTCTCCAACAAACATACCAAAAAATCAAACTTCATCTCAACAAAAAATTTTCCCAGCCCCTAAGTCTCCAACAAAAAAACCAGATATACAAAATTTCGTGGTCCAAGATCACTGATAAACACTCGATATTAAACACAATAAAAAAACGAAAGAATTTCTTGGAGCTACTCGCGAAGAAAAGCAGCTCTGACCTTGGTTAGTTGAAATCCTCCCTTAATCTCGCACGGAGGACAGCTTCCACGTGAGTCGACTTCCGGTCACCGTTGCTCCTCGAAGTTGGCTTGAACACTGAAGAAAACGTTTCGTTGCCCGGTCCCGCTGTTTTTATCGGTGTTCACCTGCACGTCCTCGGGTACCGGCGAGTCATCATCGTCGGGCAATGGGAAAACTCGGGAACACCGTGTATACTACGTGAACCGAGAAGGCGGCGGCCGTTCAACGTTACGCGGTGAAATGCTGGATTCGAACTGAACGCGGCGAGGTTCGAGGCTCCCGCTGCTAGACACACGCGACTCTCGGCGTGTCCCTCCATTCCCTCTCGCCGGGGCACTCGCCAACCCTCCTCTTCCTCGCTTTTTCTTGCGCCTTCCGCGACCGCGAATTTCATTTTCACTCGCCATTTTTCGGCTTTTTCCTCTCGGCGAGCGACCGTAACTTGCCGAGCGATCGCTCGCGGATCGTGAACGGATGAATGTTCAAGAAGGTTTTTTCGGGGATTCGTTGCGTGAGAAAGTGTTAGGATGTTGAGGTTTTCGAGGATTTTGAGGATTTTTTAGAGCTTCGACAGTTTCGGGGGTTTTGGGGGTTTATTGGTCTTTGGGTGGTTCGGGGTTTTTAAAGGTTCGAGGCCTTTGAGACTTTCAAGATTTTTAATAGCTTTGAAGACTCAAGATTTTCGGGATTTTTAAAGACTTTCACAACCTTTGGAATTTTCAAGGTTCCGAAACCTTCGAAACTTCCAAGACTTCGAAAGACTTTCACAGGTTTTGGAACTTTCAAGGCTTTCGAAACCTTCAAAACTTCCAAGACTTTTAAAGTCTTTCAGAGCCTTTGGAACTTTCGAGACTTTCCAGACCTTCGAAACTTCCAAGACTTTCAAGATCTTCAAAACTTTCAGGACTTTCAAGTTTTTCAAGATTTTCAAGATTTTCGAGATTTTCGAGATTTTTGAAGACTTTCACACCCTTTGGAATTTTCAGAGCTTTCCGAACCTTTAAAACTTCCAAGACTTCTAAAAATTTTCACAGCTTTTGAAACTTCCAAGACTTTCAAGATCTCCAAATCTTTCGAGACTCGCGAGAATTCAAAACTTCCCAGTCAATCCTCCGCGTCGCAATCTCGATATCCCAAATCTGCAACAAAGAGTTCCTTTCTAAATCATCAATTCTACTTCCTTCTTAAACAAGAAACATATTCCTTTCTAAAAATTACCAGCACGTGAATCCATACTCTGCGTGTAAATCTTGAAATCTGAAAAATCATCTTCTGCCAGCTCATTCCGGAAAATCAGATAAAAACGGTTCGATCCGCTTCTCTTGTTAATTCTTTTCACTCGCAGGCCTTTTGTTTCCGAAGAATCGGCTATGAATAAATACGAGATTAACTTCATGACGGGCAATTTCGTCTGAGAGGAGAATAAAGGGGGAACGCTGCGGTATTATCGCGAAATGGCATTACTAGGAAACGAATGTGGGTACGTGAAAGGAATCAATTCGCGGATCTCGGAGCGGACGGACGAATGTAACGCGCAGCATCCACGCTAGACGGAAGTAATGAACGTCGCTGCGCTTATTTAGTTTGATACTTCCTTCCCAGCTTGCATACGTTTGCACAAGAGCGCGCGGTGACTTTCTACGCACGCTGAAATGTATTTATCGCCGGCATTCCGTGGGTTTTAGGAACTGTGCCACTGACGAGTAATTGCTTGTTATGTAAATTCACCGTTTTTAGCGACCGGGATCTTGAAATTGTGTCGAGAAAGATGTGGTTGTGTACAGTAGTGTGTTTACTAGTAATATAATAATAATTATTATTATAAATTGTAATAATAATGTATAATAATAATAATAGTAATAGTAATAATAATAATAAGATCGTTCCACGCGAAACAAGATTTTTCCAACACCTTTACGTTTTCCAGTATTCTTTGAATTTATCAACGCTCTCATTTTGTCAGAGATAAAATGTAAAAATCGGAAAATACCGAGGAATGTTAATATTCTAAATGTTAAGATATTAATGTTCTTACACTGAATATATTAATATAATATTTAAGAACAACAGCAGAATTGCAATCTCGAATGACGAGTACTTTCATTCAATAAAGTCCCCGAATAATGGAAGAAAAGCATGTCAGCGTCGGCCATTTTGTGTTCCTGCGCTGCTAGTATTAACGTTCCGTTGTTTCGCAGCGTGCTATTAACTCCAGAACAGTCCCAGACGATGGAAAATGGCACGGCGAGGAACAAAAGTCACGGAGAGACCGATTCTCCGCGGACAAAGCGGGAAAACCGGGCCCGAAAGAATGGCGGGCCGCAATTTCGCGGCGGCTTGTCACGAAGGTCGCGTTCCGAAACGCGATCGAGTTAAAATAAACAACGAGACAATATCGTAGCTTTTCCGCTCGACGATAATCGCGTGAATTCAGCATCGCTATTATCTCGCTTCCGCGATTTGAAGCGTCAAATAAAAATGTCACTGTTTACGTATTGTACGGACGGTGCCATTGTTTCTCAACACAAGGTTCGCGGAACGCGTGAATTTGACGCATACGGAATTTTATGAATTATTGGATAATTATTTAAATTTGGCTAATGTTGTTTGGGCGAGATTCAGACTTTTCGACAATTTCAACGACCCACAATGATTTGATCGAATAAATTCGAGTATCCCGTATGATAGAAAAATTCTAATTATACCTCTTTATTTAATGTTAAATAACCTTTTATTATACGTCAATAGAATCGTCTGAGTATCTAGTATTCTACCGTGAGTAGAAAACTATAATGTATCATTGAAAAAGATTAATTTGCAGCTATGAGAGATCATTTGTAGAATCTTCCCTTCCATTTATCACGACACAACCGTGCTAAATAAATTATTTTCACATTCCTGGAAGTATCGGGAACATTCCAGGTAGCCGAAATTACTGGTCCACCCCATGAACATCCCATTTTTCACAACATCCGAACCTTATCTCCCATCGCACCAATCATCCATCTCGATAACCCCTGACGTCACCGCCGAACATAATCCCACGACACGTTATCGCGCTCTATTCAAGCACTGTTTCAATTCAATATCTCGAAATTAATCATTGTCCTCGCGACCAATGCAAGAAACGGAATATACACACTGTCGTCCATAATTATTCGAACATTCCAATCAGTCACGGAATATCAAAATTATGATGGCAACTAATTAAATTCATTATCTAGATTAAACTCATCTAATTCCTCGCAATCGTATTAATTTCATATACAAACGGAGTTTATGTTTTCCAATTTTATTCTCGTTTAGTCTACATAAATTGTTTCAACAATAAACGGTTTAATTCTTCAACTCTCATTTATATCTAATAATGTTACATTTCCATTACTTACGTATTACATAAAAATAAGTAGAATAACAAATATCTAATTTCAAAGAATGCTTTACCATCGACCCCCAAATTTTCTGAAACCAGTTCACAAAGTGTTCCATCCCTATCATCCATTGACGATGAAGTTCTAATGCAGAACTCGACTCTTCGTGACGTTTTCTCGTTACAGTGCCAGTAACGAAAAAATAATTCCAGGTTGTCTACCGAAGCTGCGCCGAAAGCAGGAAAATGGACCGATTCTGGGAAGCCAGCAGGTGTCAGAGATCATATCGGTGGTCCAGATGAATCGACGTGTTCCTGGCTACCTGAGCAGGTAAGCATTTAACAGGGGGTGCAGCTGAAGCTGTAGAAGAACCCGTGAAAACTCGAGCGTGATTTTCTCGTGGCTGTAGGGAAGAAGATGGGTGGGGCTGCAGATGAAAATATGCGGCTCCGCGGCCCTTTGATCTAGTTCTCGAAAAGCTGGCAATCAAGCCGGCACTCGGCGGACGCCTAGGGGCGAGCTAGAGTCTCATGGACGTGCCAATTTGCTTTCATTTCCTTTCATCTTTTGCCTCAAGTTTCACTGATTCCGGCAAAAGTGCGCGTCCGTTGATTGCGATCTGGACGCCCGGCGACCCGGTCGCCGTTGTTCGTGGCCTTCGGGATGATGGTTTTGAATTATTACGGGAACGGGGATTTTTAGGTTAAATTTGCGAGGGATACGGGGATCGAGGAACATGGCGGAATGGGGTGGTTTTGGTTTTGTGATTTTAATGGCGGACTGCGGACGAGTGTCGACGTTTCGGCGAGATGAAAGTTTCGTATTTGGAAGATGTAGACAGATTTAGTTAGTCGAACAGCAAGAGATACATGGTTTCCTTTTTTATGTTAATTAAGGTTACTGAGGGTTTTGTATATTTCAAAGAATCTTCGTCCGCGAAGGTTTAATGGCGAATTGCGGAGGAATTGTAAGTTTGTTGGAAGTTATGGAAAGGAGAGTGCAAAAGTTCTTGGAAATTCAGGGAGGTCGTACAAGTTTCTTGTAAATTGGGAAATTGTAAATATTCCTTGTAAATTGCCAGGTAGTGTGAAAGTTTCTTGTAAATTGTGAGAAGTCTCAAGGATTTTTAATTTACATATGTTAAATAATATAGGTACAAATTGAAATATTTAACAACAGTCGCTATGATTTATCCATTTCTTCATTTATCACTGTTTATGAATCTCGACATCATACGATACATATTGCATCATATATCACTCACATCGCATGATCGCATGATACGTATAAAATTCAATGATTCCCTACTAAAACCATACAATAAAAACTATAACACACATAACATAACCACCATCGACATCGAAAATCGACGTCGTTCCCTGTTCCAACGCGATAATTACAAGTCTGCTCGTAAAATCTTCAATTTCCCCGCAATTTAGATCAACAGTGTATCTCAGGAGCGAGACGAAATAAATAAAGTATTACGAAATCGACTAGAAATCACCGATCATCAACCAAGTCCGAGACGTACTACGAAACCGCAACTTTCTCTGGCTCTCGGACACAATGATTTTTCTCGAGCATCCACACGTCGCAGACAGAGTCGGGCAAAAGTTAGTCAAAACTTAATCGTCAATTCGCTAATAACGGGTAATCAAAATAATGTTCACAGGCAATAACAAATTGGCTTCACTCAGTAAAATAAAAAACATAACTCGCCTTGCTATCGATCGAATTTCTAAGTTCAAGTAGGAAACTACGAATAATCCGTATTTAAATAACAAATAAAAGTTGCCCACGTGAATAACGAACAACTCGAACAATAAATAATCAAATAAACGTTAATCATTTATTACTTATTGTTATTGAAATAAAGTTTCATTCGAATAATACCCAAAAATGCGTCTAGCGACGTTGATGACTGGAAATGTGTTTCGTTATTTTTGCACAAAAGTCGAAGAACTTCTGATAGAATGAAAATAGAACGAGCAACGGTTAATTATTTATTGTTACTCGAGTATGTTACTGTTATTTAAATAACGCCCGACATTGGTCGCGGTAGTAGCGCGAATCAATTACAAAATGGCCGGCCGCGGGTGTAAGAAGATGGACGATCGCGATGAACCGAGTCGATCCTTGACCGACCATTTCACAAGATAAAGCCGCACGATGCGCGTTCGCATAAGTAGAACGCTATTAAATACAATTAAACGCGGCGCCGATTGCTGCAACGATGGCAATGATCTTGCCAAGGCTGCAAGATCAAGCGCGATCGTCGTTGATTACGTTCGGTGACGTTATGGACTGATGTTACGGGTCAAGAAGATTTTCGCGTTCACTATTTTTCACGCAACAATAATAACGATAACAATAGAAAACAATGCTAATGCCTGAACTTACATTTACAATACAAAAATACTTTAACCACAGTTATAAAGTTTTGTAATAGATATCAAAATGATTCCTTAAATTCGCTGCAATCTTCAAAAATCCTGATAACTGATTTCAATGTATATAGAATATAATTCATTGAATAAATAACATTTGTTTATTGATAAGTTCGTGTACCTATGAAATTAATGGACTCATCCGAAAGTTGGAGAAGGTATAATAATTTAAGGTAAATGATGTAACTTTAACTTGCAAATAATTAGAAATGCAGTATTTTCAATTATAGGATCTAATCATTGTTCGAGGCGTTGATCGAAGATTTGTGCAATCGTGCTATCGTTTCCGGTGTTCCACAGGATCTTATCGTTTCCAGAGCGGCGGCGAATGATTTGAAAAATGGGAGGCAGCTAGCAAGATGATTGTAACTGATATTATAATTGCGAAATTTTTTTAAGCGCGACCGGTTACTTGGACTATCCTAGACCTCAATAGGCCGACAATTAACGAGAGTATATCTCGTTTGTTTACGCCTGATCTACATACGACTTTCCGTTCGACGCGTTTTACCTCTTACTTTCCAATGTCCGATTCGTTTAACTGGTCGACCGACGCTTGCAAAAATCTTAAGGAATCGACGTAATTTATTTAATGAAACGGGAAATGGAAAGTTGCAGCTTATCACGGTCATTATTCTTTTTACCCCCTTCTCACCATCGGCGTCGCAGCGATTCTAACGTGAGAATTACCTTTTAACGCTTGCGGCTCTTCAGATTCTTTCTTATCATCTTCCACTAACTGGTTGTCTTGTAATATTAAAATTGACCAATCAAGTTAATGTTACTCATAATGGTTAAATGGAAACGTTTGAAGAAGGGGGATTTTATTTGGCTGTTTGACGTAAATATGGAGTGCCGTTTTTGTGCTATGAATAAAATTCAATCTAGTTAATATTAATCGTAGTGGGTAAATTCAAACGTTTGACAAACGGGGATATTATTTAATTGTTTGAAGTAAATATAGCCATTTTTGTATTATCAATAGTTAATGTTTAAAGTAAACGAAGTAAAATTATTAGAGTTTGGAATAATATATTCATTTGCGCAGTAATTCTCTTTAAACGATAGTTCAAAAAGTAAATTAAGAGATCATCTATTAATCATTCATCTTGAACAGTCTTCCTTACATTTAACCCTAGAAAACTTAGCAACCCTCTTTAATCACAGAATATGAAGAAAATATCATCCCCTCGCCAAGCACACCTATAAATAAACTTACTCAACACTTCAACACCACCATCTAAGAATTTCACTCCCACAAAGACATCGCTCCTCGAACAACCAAAAATCAAACTAAAAAATCGGAATGAACTCTTCAGACCAGCCCCAAATTCCAAAAAGGACTATCAAACTTACCTATCACTAACATCCAAAAGCTTCACCTCAATACAGACAAGTTTCAAGAAAAAGAGAACACCACAAAATGGCTACGTCTTAAGACAAGTTTCCATAGTCTCTTCGGGGTTGATTCCACGGAGCACCGGACCAACGCGCGACGGCCATTTTTCCTCCAGCCGGTTCCCGTCGGCCGTTGCGTTGGTCTCGGTGTCTAATCAATTGCTGAAACCGTTTTCTTTTTCGGCCGGTCACAAAGCGGCCCCGACGGGACAGCGCGAGGGAACGGATGTCGACGTCACCATTGCGCTCCGCCAGGAGTCCCCGTGCACACGTGCGCACACGCGCACACAAGAAGCCGGCCGTGGTACCTACACACCTATACAAGCGGCGCGGGCTTGTGTATCTAACCGTAAATATATTCCGTTTAAGGCTGATGGCTAGATTGTCCGTAGTTGACTACGGTTAGTCTCGGGCTCTCATATCAGGCCAGTTAGCGCGAGTTACAACGCCGCTGTACCTCGGCCGGGCCTCGTGGAACCGTAATCAGACCCGTCTACGTCATCTGCCGACTGATTGCCAATTCAACGCCCCCGCGACACCGTAGGTGGATCTTCGGGGCGAAGACGCCGCGAGAAGGCTGCTTTAGGTCTCGGTTGATCCTCTAACTCAGCAGCTTGGCCCATCAGACCTTATTTCCTTGGATGAGGGTGATGTCAGTTGTAGAGGTTGTTTTTTTAGGACCTCATCATCCCCTAAGTTGAAGGATTATTCTAATAAACAAGTCTTGCGTCTCTTACTCAGCATCTTTGCCTATGAAAGCTCATTTTCTTGGGTGAGGCTGATATCAGTTGTGAAGACTGCTTTTTTTAGCACCCTATTATCCCCTAAATCGAAGAGAGGCTGCTTTAGGTCTCAGTTGATCCTCTATCTTAGTATCTTTACCCATGAAACCTTATTTCCTTGGATGAGGCGGATGTCAGTTGGAAAGGTTGTTTTTTTTAGCACCCTATCATCCCCTAAATCGAAGAATTATTCTAATGAACAAGTCTTGTGTCTGTTACTGATCAGTTTTTACTATGACAATTTATTTTTTTGGATAAGACTGAAGTCTGTTACTAAAACTGTTTCTTCTTAGCACCCTATCATCCCCTAAATCGAAAAGAGGTTGCTGTAGGTCTCGGTTGATCCTCTAATTTAACAGCTTTGCCCATGAAACCTTATTTCCTTGGATGTGGCCGATATCAGTTGTGAAGACTGCTTTTTTAGCACCCTATCATCCCCTAAATCGAAGACAGGTTGTTTTAGGTCTCGGTTGATCCTCTAACATAGCAGCTTTGCCCATGAGACCTTATTTTCTTGGATAAGGTTGAAGCCAGTTGCAGAGATCGCTTTCGTTGGCATCCTATCATCCCCTAAGTCGAAGAGAGACGAGCTACTTTCGGTCGTCGTTGATCCTCTTACTAAGCACCTTTGCCCGTGAGACCTTATTTTCTTGGATAAGATTGAAGCCAGTTGTAGAGACTGTTTTTTAGTACTTCATCATCCCCTAAGTTAAAGACTCACTCCAACAAACAAATCCCCTTGCTACTCATCTCAAGATCGTAAATTACACTGTTACAATATTTCTTGACAAGCAGTTAACCAGCAATTTTTCCTTAGCACTCTGTCATCCCCTAAATCAAAGGACTCATCTCAAGTATAACTAAAATTACAAATTTCTATTAAAAAAATAAACATTGAAGTCAATCTTCGACAATCTTTTCAAACAAGTAATTACTCCGAAGACATTTGTAACATCGAAGGTACATGAAAAGCATTTACAAAAACGTCAAATGCGTTCATCAGATTTCTTAAAGAAAATCGCACAAAGACTCTGAGAATTACTCTGATCCTCTTATCCTTGAACCAATGTTCTTTTTTATCTGTTCCGTCGGATCTTGTGTATGTACTTCTCTTGAACACCGGATGGAGAGAACGACGTCCATTATCTCGGCCCATTTTGCGAATTCATGGTTCGACGGTGGGTAGTCCTTCACAGCCGCGCGAGACCCTGGAGCCGCGATAGTTAGGGACGTGATGCGGATCTTGCGCGCGTTTCGAGCATCGGGTGAAATCAGAACACGTCGAGGATGGGTAAGACAAGATTCACAGGCATGCCCGAAATCGGAAATAGATACGGCAGCGCCTGCGCTCCTAAGTCACCTACTTTTACCCCCTTTAACGGGTAGACAACTGCGTTTGACAAACATTCACCCGTCGGACGCAATGCGAACGATATTAATACCCTGACACAACTCTTTCTAATCCAAGCAAGCTTGCATATTCCCCGTCAACAATACTGAATTCAACAATAATCTCGAATCTTCCAATTACCGTCCCATTTAACCAAATCCATCGGTCTAATTAACAAACTACACGCATTAAGTACAATCTAAAATTAAGATTTCAATGCAGAAATATTAAATACAACTCTTTCCCCATGTTCGCATTATTCTTATCAACAATACTGAATTCAGCAATAATCTCGAATCCCCCAATTACCTTCCTATTTACTCAAACCCATCAACCTAATTAACAAACTACATGTATTAAATACAATCCGGAATTAACCCGTTACTCGGCTTATTGCACTCGACAATATTTTCCAGTATAAACATTCATTATTTTCTAACGGAATATTAACAATACTATTTGGAACTTGTATGAAGAAACATCTTGCATAAATTCAGGGGCAGAATTGTTTTGTTTCTGTTCCGTGTACTACTATGCATTCTTTCATGTTGAATTTTCAATTTTATCATTTTGCTATGTTGAATCAAATGACGATTGAGTCATCTCAGTAAAAAAGATTTTCACTGGAAATATTCAACATTTTCCGACGAGATACAGAGGACATTGTTTGAAATTAATTTAACGATAATTCACAGATAAATTAAACAACAGAGCTATTTTATTTAAATATTTCACACAGTAATACAAAGTTTCATTTAAAATACTAAATATTCAACTTCATAGTTCTGCTGTATCAAATCAAGTGATGACTGAGAGTCACCTCTCAATTTCATTTATCACATGAAATCAAACAGTGAATGAGAGTCATTTCTCGAGTGCAAGTTAACTTGGCCTATGATTTCTTTCTCACCTCTGATCGATACGACTACTTTATCATTAAAAATCCATTGGAAAACGAGAAAAATTCTAAACATACATTACACCTATATTTCCTCTTAACTATAACAATTGATTACAGAGGAACAATATTTAAATTCGAATGAACCGAGTAACATATACATTCATTGAATCATCTCGAAAATCTTCGCAAATCTCGTTGTTACAGGACAAAGGGTTGAAACATCCCCTCAACATGGAGACTCCTAAAAAAGCTAAAAACGGACAAGACGTCTCCATCCTCTTCAGCGAGCGTCTCCATGTGCAAGGTCATCATTACCAAAGGGAACAATCAATGACGATTCCGTCGGGCTCGTCAAATGTCGCGCACTTTCGCCGTCTGGAATTAACTTCTTCAGCATCGGATCGAAATGGATTTAAAACAGAGGGCAGGCCAATAGAAAGACGGGCGCAGTACGCATGCGGGCTCCGATAACCTACTCCTGTCGCAAGGAACGCGGCTTATCTGTCCGTAGTCGTGGAAAAATGTTCGATTAGGTCTCCGCTTTTCCGCGTCCATTCCGTTCGCGCGTGAAGTGTTGTCCTCCGAGGCCTCGCTGAACAGTGAACGAGAGATGTCCTCCGAAACCTGCTGCGACCACGACCATATGCCGTCTCGTTGCTACCGTTCACCTGAAACGTAGACTGGTAAACATGAAGAGCACAACGGTGACCATCGAGAGAGAACCCCATCGATGTCCCGACTGAGGTCGCGACCTAACCAAAAGAGTCCACGAACTTAGCACAACGAACGCCATGGAAAGTACTCCTACGACATATCCCTAAAATCAATCCGTAAGCTGGCGAACGGTTTCCTGTCACACCTGGCCGAACCGTTCAACGAACTTGCCACATCCGGTCGAGCGACAACGATCTCCATGGGTAATCGGAGTCATCGCTGGTTCCGTACCTGAAAAGAGTCACGGGGAAAGTAGCCGTTGACAGTGGAGAGTATCATGTCAAGAGACAAGCGAAAGACAGCGCCCTACGACATCTTCTGGTGCCAGCCGGTGTCCAACGGTCCGCCGGAAGTCGAGCGTTCTACCCGCGTGTTTCTCGGCTTTTCAAAGGACACGGTGCAGAGGCTGTGCGGCAGGGTGGCTGGCGGGGGAGGATGCATCCTGGAGAGGCACCGTTGAACCGAGTTTGTTCTGGTCATCGTCATCGAGGTCTTGGCTCGGGCCGGAATTCGACGTTGCAAAATGTTGGCCGAAATGGTTCGACTGTCTTACCAGCACCGGGCATTTTACTGCTACGTGATCCTCAGCGTCTGGATCTTCCTCCTCGTTGCTGGTAATCCGGAATTAGGATCCTTTGCCTTGTCGCGTGCTACCACGGAATTGGCTGCGAATCGCTTGGGGTTGATTTTTAACGCTGGAACTACCGAGCACTTGATGTCTTTTGAGCATTTCTTTGTGAAAGCTGTAATTGGGAATTAAGATATCAGTTGGCTTATGTTTCAGTCTAGGTATTGCTAGATCAGCTTCTTTAGTTGTTTCTTAAAGTACCTGCACCTTTGCAGTAATTCGGAAAGAAACTGGGAATTGGTCATTTTCACCCATCTGGTAGTTCTAGTGTTGAATTGTAGTACGTTGACTGGCATGGTACCGGTGACCGGAGCTAAATTGTTTGAAATCATTTGCGATAAGGAAATTGATGTTGAATGAAAGTATTTAGTAACAAGTAACTAGATAACAGACTAGTAACTGGATAAATATTGTACGAAACAGAATTCTCGTGGCATTTGGAATATTATTTTATTTTGTTTGTTTCGATTTTGGTTAGATTTGTGCACCCCCTAGGTAGCTGCATGTGTGCGTTCATATTGAAGGAAATGTCGGTTTTCCAATTGTTTATGAATTAGCCGACACCTGGGAACGGTTTGTAATGTATTCTGAGGTTTATAATGTATTCGGAGCACTGCTTTATCGTAACGTAAACGGCGAACGGTAAACACACGCGACAATGAGATTAACTCGCGTACACGAGTTCACGTTATCGGCTTCGTTCGCCAGCTGTAAGCCGCACACGTAAACACGGCCGTGGGACCATTTGAAGCCTTATCTTTTTCTTTTGTTGTGATTTGTTTCGATTGGGATTCATCGCATGAGTAGTAAAAATATAAAATGATATAGGGTATGTTACTGAGATGGCAGAAATGGTTTCGGTGTATGTTATGTAAATAATTTATGTGATTATTTCAAGGTCAAACATTTTTTAGAATCTTTTGTTGGATAGAAAGGATTTAGTATTATTTATAGACACCTGCATGCTTATGGCTTCTGGAACTTTGTACTATGCTGTGTCTAAATCCTGATTAATGGTATAAAATGTAAGAAGTAATATTGTGTATTCTGAATTCTATAGGTATGTACAAATACATTGGCATAGACGAGAAGAGTTCTATGCAAACAAGAGTCCTGGGGAATGACATTTCTGTTAGAGAATTTCCTAGAAATTTGAAAGCTGATGTGAAAACCAAAAAGATATTTCGGTTTTGCAATCCACCTAATGAAATTGTTGCAGAAACAGAAGGTACTGACAGTGTTTAATAGTAATAGTTATTAGTTCAGTAGTTGTTTTATTGTACTGTTATTCTTTACCCAGGAAAATTGGATGGAAATCTAACGTTAGGTGGTATTTTGGTATTTATAAGGCATGGAGACAGGGGCCCACTGGCTCACATTCGAAACATAAGCATAGTAAACTGTGGTGGGGACTTTAGTTCTACTCCTGAATTAGAAAATGTCTACCAGAATTATGTGAACTTCCTGCAAAACATTTCAAGCTACTCTAGAACGGCATGGGCACAATTCTTAGGACCCTTCCATGGTTTCCCCATGCTGCCCGCCAACTCCAAAGACTGTAGAATTGGGCAGCTGACAACTCTAGGTGTAACGCAACTCCTAAAAACTGGAATTGTGCTTAGAAATGCGTACTACCATAAACTTAATCTGGGGAACAGTACTATATCCAGCAGAGACATTGTTGTATACAGCACCAGATATCGAAGGACAGTTCAAAGTGCAGTTGCTCTGTTATACGCCCTCCTGGAAACTGACGGTTTCCAGAATCTTGCCAAAATCAGTATGCAAGAGAGCCAAAGTTATGCATTCTGCAACACAGACTGTGCGTGTCCAGCTGCTGAAAAGTTCTTCAAGCAGCATGTGAAGGTAACGCATTCAAACAATTTTGAAGTCTCCAGTTCCTCTATTTCCATGCCTAACAAGGAAAACTCTTACAGGAGATGTCTGACCACTTAAAATCCCATCCAGCAGTGGCAGAATTGATAAGGCAGGCATCCAGCGCAGTGTTCGAAATCCCAGATCAGGCCCAGACCACAGATCCTAACACATTGAAAGATGCATTATTAACCTACGTCTGCCATGGAGCTTCTCTACCTTGCGTAGACTATGACACGCAGAGGGTCTGTGTCAAAACGGAGCATGTGACAGGCCTATTCGCATACAGTGAATGGGAGTCAAAGCAAGTCGCAAAAAGTAGTAATCGTAGAAAGTATGGTTTACTGAGGGCATATGGACTCCTCCGGAACATAGTGTCGTACATGTTGCGCATTATATCAGAGGCGAAACCAAAAATAGTGTTGTACTCGGGACACGACAAGACCCTGGAGTACCTGGCAACCGCCCTCGGCATCTTCTCCGATAAACTGACCATGCCTCATTACGCTTCTCGTTTCGTAATCGAGGTATACCGCATCAATTCTAGAAACGAGAACCACGTGGCCAGTGACTTTTACTTCCGTGTCATCGTAAATGGCAAAGACTACACGCAGAAGATACCGTTCTGTAAAAACGCGAATTTCTATAGCGCCAGTTACATGGAACGGTCCGACGTCGAGAGGATCCGCAGAGATTCAAGATTGTGCCCGATAGAGACCATCATCCGTCAGCTGCACGACGATTACTTTGGCTCGTTCAACGCGACGAACTTCAAAGACGCTTGCAGCAGTCGCAAACGTGGATAGTCTGAGCAGGGGAAAATCTACGTTACAATTGACTTTTCCGGACGAGGCCAATACCGATATGGCAGCCGTCGATCCACAACGTTACAATTAGTTCGCTCGGGAAACCCCCTTTTTCAGGACCCTGGCACAAATTACAACGTAGAAGCGTTTCTACACTTTTCAATTTTAAATGTATGCACTAATTGGAACACAGGATGTTTAAATATACAGGGTTGTCCCATTATGATCTTTTTATACAATTGTTTCTCGGATTGTTGAATTGAACAATTAAAATAGAGATTTTGAAACGTCTTTGTTGTGAAAATAAAATTGTAAAGTGAAGTGAGAATTACTTTAAAATTGTTTTTTTTTCGACAAAGAATGGTTCAAAAGAGAATCGTAATGGGACATCCGACGTATTCAAATCGACGCGTTCGAACGTGTCGCGATCCTTGCATTGAACATTCGTTTTTCTTGTAGCTGAATAATTTATTTAACGGTCCTCTGTTCTTAGAGGACACGAAGCGCGGTATTTAATGGTATTTCTCAAGTTCTTCCGAATCTTGATCTGGAATTTCGAATTCTTGCGACCTCGAACGGAACAAGTAGTAAGTTTTAACGTTCTATGATATTTTACGAAGAAAGTATTAAGAGTTTCTGTGAGATTTCTTATAATTAGACTGCGGGTATTTATGCAGGCATGATTTGTCGACTGATTTACAGGAACCGGTGTTAAAGAGGAATTTATATACTCTATCAAGGGTTCTATTGAAATTTAAATTTCAAAAATAAGTTGAGCATCGAATCATATCGGATTTTTAAGGTACGCTGTGAACAAAGTAAAATCTGCAGTCTAACTATAATAAACGATTCGTAAGTGTAGTTTCCGAATACTATAAAATCGACACTTTGCTACGAACATTTCGAAGTAACGAAGTAATGAAACCAAAAAACGATAGTAACGAGTTAATATTTAAAAATATATAAGATTTGCACTGTTTTAGACTGTAATTATAAACGAATAACAAAAGAGAAGAAGCCTTATTCTTAGGTTACGTTTATCAAAATCGAACGTAGCTTTAAATACATATATTGATGATATATATATATAATATACAAGGTGTCCAAAAATCACGCGGTACAATCTGAGAGCGTACGTCATTCTTCAGGTTGCGTCGAGTGTTTTACGACAGCCATTACGGAAGCTAGATGATTGCCATATATTTTATCACTCACCTTATTGTAAATATGTAAATAACATCGAACTTCTATGAGCGATGATCACGTTCGACCTTTTTTTTCAAGCATCACTTAACAGCAACAAGAAATCTAATTAATTAGACAGTGTTTAAGAGAATGTACAAGAAACAATAGAGTCCTGTATAACTTGCTATTCCTGTAACCGTTGATTAGTATTATTTGAGACTTAACGGACTTCCTTTCCAGTGTTGAAGTAATTCTGAATTATGTATATGATAACAGGATTCAAAATCCTCATCGACAATGACCACTATTTTGAATCGCTGTTAAACACCTATCAATCAGTGGCAAAAAAGAAAAAAAAGGAGATATTGCACATTTCAAATAGTATTGCAACTGATTCTAATTGTGATCGTATTTATTAAAAAAGAAAAATACACAAGGCAACGAGCGTTGTACGTGTCATTGAACTGACATAGGATGATACTCTTGTTTCCCCTTTTTTGTTTTTGTTAAAATATACGAACAATTTCAAACGATACGAATTATTGATTATCCATCTTTCACTGGTTTTTTATAAAAAGTAATTGCATAGAGTTTATTCACGATATAAAAACTTACAGTCCATTAATAAATAAATACTAGACAATTATTATAGTTGACAAGGCACAGGTTCACATCCTTAACAGGAGTAACAGAGTACAATTAAAAATAAAATCTATCGTAACTTTGGTAAAACATGATATATGAGCACAGTTATTTAACACTATAGTTCTCGTTCTCGTCCGAGCCGTTCGGATTTATAGTGCCAACCTTACTAGCACACGGATGCAGTAAATCAGTGAGAAGATTTAACGCGTGTTCAACAATCGTAGTCACTATATGCTACATTCCTTATTTACACTCCGTAAGAAAAATACATGTCCCGAACGATCGTGAACCAACAATGTTCCCCAATTGAAATGTCCGTTGACTGTCGTTACATCGTTCAGTGGTACAAATGAAAACGGGGATAATTCCATGCGAATCGGCACCGCCGCATGCGAAAAACAACGTGATATTTTAATCACAGTCTCAGAGTACGTTTTGTTCATGCTTGTCTCTTCATGCTTAGAAGACTTAAACGATTAAAACGTTACGAACGAACGAGTCTAACGATTTCCAGACTTAGCCATCGCTAGACCCAATGTTTGTTGAATATTCCTAAATCGTTGACAATACTGTTCAAGCGCGAATCCTTCAAAATTGCCGTCCTCGCTGGAAGAAAACGAAAAGAGTATAACAAAGTATGTCAAAATGAAAATCCCACCTTGAATTAAATTGATATGCGAATAAATCTGCTCACTTGACGCTAGGTCTTTCTCGAACAGGTGGTGAATGGTTCATGACAATCTTTTGTACCGGCGTGTACGCCTGATCCGCATTCCGCAGCAACGTCGTAACTCCTATCCGTCTACCGATACTCCACCTCACGATCAACCATTTCATTCGGTGAATACTAATAAGGACTAGAGCTGCACTCCTGAAACGTACCCTCGGTGACATCTTCTTATGGCGGCCCGCGGTAACGTAAGATCGTTGTTCACTGGTTAAATGTGCGAGGAACGCTAACGTGTTTTCCACTGAGATCTCATAGCCACCCACTACCTTCAGCAGGTAACGCTTCTGGTACGTTAAAGCCTTGCGTCTACTGTCTGCTCGCATATACTTCCCATACAAGTGTAACAACTGTACAACAGAATTATTAATTTAGAATAATTCAACATCTCCACTTGCTTCCCCTATATGTTATGAAATATAAAATTACTTTGTCTGCCTGATCTCCACCCATTGCTGCGTTTACATCATGCGATTCAGTGTAACGCTTCACGCGTGTTTCAAGTAATTTCACACGTTGACTAAGCTGCTCCTTATCTTCCAGTGCCTTCAGGAGCTTCTCTTGAAGCGTACTCTTCTCATTCAGATACTTTTTATAGCCATCACTGAGATCCTATAGAATAAAACACTGGATATTAAATAGGAACAAGACCCATAAGCAAGATGGCGTAGTTAGTTTAGTTCTAGGAACCTAACCCTACTTTTTAAACAAGTACCTTCTTAATTTTCTGTAGCATTTTGGTAGGTTGATTCTTATCCCCAGCGTATCTGCTAGTCAATTCTTTTGTAAACTCCAATTCCCTTTCCGTGGATAGCCTCAAATCCTGTTGCAACTCTGCAATTGTATCCCTTAACTTCTTTTCCTCATCTTTAGCTGCAAATAATTTCTTAAGCAGATTGGTTTCTCTCTCTTTCAAAGCTTCCAAGGTTTCAGCTAATTTCATTTCGCGTTCCAGGGACTCCGTCAGTTCTCTCTTCGACTGCTTCATGTCAGCTTCTAAATCCACCTGTCCCATAAATAATTTCATTACATTGTTACATAAGGATTCAAACTTTTATTTTAAAGCCAGGGTATGCATACTAACCATGACTTCCCTCGCATTATTGATCTCCCTCCTCAATCCCTTAAGCTCATTATGCTCGTCAGTGCTTTGCTCCTGTCTCCTGCTTTCCGCGTCAGACATAGTTTTAATCCTTTTCTGAAGCCACTCGCACTCCTCCTCTCGTGATTTCAATTCATCTTTGGTACGGCTGAGATCCATTTGCAACTGGTCCTTAATCCCTTTGACGAGGGCAAGGCTACTTATCAATTTTTCTTTCTCCTCCACCTCCACCTCTAATTGCTTCTGCAATCGGTTCTTCTCCGTTTGCAACTTCCTTAAAGTATCCTTTAATTCTGCCCCGTTACGCTCCTCCTTCTCGAAACTTTCCATCAGCGACAAATACTTTTTCCTCTCGGTTTCCAGGAGGTCCGCTAGCTTTGGTAATTCGTCCGACTTCTGAGACTGTACGTGCTCCTTCATCAGACTCAACTGTATCTCCAGGCTTTTGTGTTCTTGCCGTAATACTGAAAGATCATTGCGTAACTTCGCTTCATTGTCCAGAGAAGTCTTTAGCTTATTCTGAAGAAACTCGATCAACTCTGAGTCCTGCAAATGACCCGACTGCATAGACCTATGCTCCTTCTCAATTTGAATCTTCAAACTCCTAACCAAGTTCTTCTCAGAGAACAATTCTTCATTGAGCTTCGCGACTTTCTTACATTCCTCTGTTAAGTCTGACTTCAGTTGGAAAATCCGGCTTTCGTACTCGGCGATCTGACACTTAAGCATTCCCCTTTCAATCTCCAAATCGTCCTTTAACTTCTTTAGTTTGTCGTTGATCCTGTTCGCCTGACTTAATTGTAATTTTAATTCACTATTTCTTTGAGCTCCCTCTTGGTACTCCCTGTACTGCATTTCATTCTCCACTTTACAAGGTCGTTCCTCCTGGTCGCTCTCAATGGCATTCATAATTTGTCTGTCCAGGTGAGCCGATAGATTCAGCTCTCTTTGTACCATGTCTTCAATATCAGTGTCATCCTGTGACCGTTGCGCGGCCAACTTTAAATCGCACAGTTCCTTGCTCAGTTTATCCACCGTGTTCGTCAATTCAGCGTTCACTTTTTGTTCTTCCTTCAACTTCTTCCTCAACTCCACCACATTACCGGATTCCTTCATCTTGTTCTGTATGGTTTCCAAAGCTCTGTGCAAGCTCTTGCTGTCATCGCTCATCTGTCGTATAACCTTGTCCTTCTCCTTCAAATATTCCTGCAGATGATGGATCTCTTCGTCTTTTTCATTGGAAGGTGAAGACGTTCCCGAGAAACTGGTACGTCTGACCATCTCTTCCAATCGTCTGATTGTCTGGTCCCTATGGTTTAGACCCTCCGTCAACCTCTGGATCTCGTTTTGACACTCAACGATTTCTTGCTTCAACAATTCATTTTTGGTTCTGAGTTCATGCAACTGTTTATCCTTCTCAAGAACACTGTCCTTCAAGCTGTCCAACGCCTTCGTGTTCTCCTGTATCAATACAGCGCACTTCTTCGCGTGTTCCTGCTCTTTGTCCTTCATGTCCTCCTTCAACTTGGTATTCTCCAAATTCAACTCCATTAGAATCTTCTCGTTAACCTGCATCTTGCTCTTCTGCTCCTGGATCTCTTCAGTTCTCTGCTTCAGAACATTCTCCACCTCCAACAGATCCTTCTTGATTTTACTTTCAGACACCTTCGACGCTTCGTACTGATTCTGATAAAAGCACTTGTCTGTGGTGAGCGTTTCCACAACTGTTTTGAACTCCGTTTGCAGTTCATCGTACATTTTCTGTAGGGATATCAAATCTGCTTCGCGTCTCTCCAAAGTCGCCAATTTCTTCAGCAGCTCCTCCCGGACAGCTTCCAGTTGACTTTCCAAATTCTGTATTTCGTTGACCGAAGTCTGAGTGTACTTCATGGAAGTAACACAAGACTTGTTATCAGTTTTACTACGAGATTCCTTCTCCGAAGATTCCTGGATCCTCGAGCATTCTGGCTTTGAAGACGAAACCCTATCCGTCTCGTCCGTTGTCATATTGTTCTCCGAAGTTCTGGAGTCCAATCCACTGTGCAATAAGTCCATAACCAAAGATGGCTGATTGGACATGGCCAACGAGCTTTGAGAGTTCAAGCCCAGATCCAATGGAGGTACGTGTACTCCCTTAGAAACATCGATTAGGGGCGTTGCCGAGTCATCCACAATTTTAGCTGAGGCAAATGGGGTAGGAACTTTGAAGGCAGATATATTTGGCAACATCTGTGTAGAATTAGCCGCTCGAATGGCTTCAGTTGTCTCTTCACATTCCGAATGAATGGATAAAATGTCGCTCAAGGTGCGAGCACTGTTCTTTGCTTCTGTATGTCGCATTAGTTCCTTCAGCTGAGTCTCATCCAGGTTCAACGAGGAATACAATTCCAGTTGCTTTTCCTTCTTCGACAACTGGTCCTTCAGATGATCTATTTCCTCGTTTTTGTCGGCTAGCATACTGTCAATCAATCGCGGCAGCTCCAGTTGGGCATGTTCCTGAACGCCAACTTTCGCCTGTAGAAGCCTCTTTTCCTCCTCGACTACCTCCAAGTGTTCTTTCAACTTTTGAATGGTGGCGCTCTCCACCTCCACAACGTTAGCGATCTCCGCTTCCTTCTCCTGCAACAGTTGATTAACTCTGTCCAATTGGTTCTGCATGTCCTTCAGTTCTAAATCCTTCTCCGCGATAGCGCACTCCAGCGACTGGAATTTCGTGTTCGCTTCGTGAAGCTGCAATTCCAAACGCGACGTCGCTTGTCTTTGAGCGAACGGGGCGCTCTGCTTGTGCTGCTCCAAGCGACCACGCATCGCTTCTATTTGGAACAATTGTTCGGAGGTCATTTGTTGCAGGATCTCCTGCTCCACTTGCAGATCTTCGTTCTGATTCTTCAGAGCAGCTACCTGCATCTCTAAGTCTTTGATCCTCTTAAATGCAACGTCTTCGGCTCTGGCTTGTTTTATCATCTTCTCTTTGAGCTTAAGCAACTGGTCCAGAGGCAACATTGGCGGTGATGTGGGATCATCTGGCGTTGGACAACGTGTCGCATCTATTTGCTCCCTGATGGAAACGTCTTCGCTAGGCTGACTCAAACTCAAATTAGAGCTACACATATGCGCGGACTCCAAGTCTTTGATCCTTTTGTCTAAATGACCCTGCATCTCCCGAAGCTCTGCCTTCATCTGTTTCAGTGCAATAGAATTTACATTGAACTGTTCCGAACTCAGTTTGTGCTTTCTTAATTCCTCCTGTAAATTGTACTGTATAATCAATGCTGTCTTTAAAACGAAATTTAGTTCTTCAAACTTACCTGTAAGTGATTGATGTGCTCGTTAAGGTGTTTGCTTTCATTGTCCATTTTAACCGTATCCAACTCTTGAACCAATTCTTGTTGATTCTTTGTCTGAGCAGCGATCACGGTTTCTAATTGGCTGATTTGAAGCTGCAAAGACTCCTCTTTCTCAGTTTTAGCTTGCAACTGTTGCTCCAAGTCGGTGATAATGTCTCTTAACACCCAGATCTTGTCAATGGCTGCTTTCAGTTCAATCTCAGTTTCCATCTTCTTTGCTTCCGTGTCAGATACAAGGGATGACATTTCTCTCATCTGAGACTCGAGTGCCTCCACCTGAATTGCAGGTACGATTAGCTTTTCGTTAACTATCATTCATTAATCTGATCCATTGAAATACAATGCCACAACTTATTAAAAGAAAACACCACCAACATGTAAAGCGTTCAAGTACGTTGTTAAATTAACCATAATATTTGTATTTAAGCTTCCAAATCTCTGTAATCGCATGCATAGAAATTAACTTAATCATTTATCATCGTTTCAACATTCTACCTAAATACATCTTGATGTCTGAAACGATGTCAATTAACATTGATTCTTATAATAAATAGAATACCACTCACAGTAGCACTGATGTCAGATGTTTGAAGCACAGGGACGTCTGACGTTGGTTCAGGTGATAGTGTAGACTGCTTTGTGCAACATACAGAAAACCAAAACCAGAGTGCAGGAAAACTTGTGTTAATACAATTAGTGACAATGCGTGGTTATAAGCTGCATAAATTATGTAGTATAATATAAACGATAACAATCGCGGAAACAAAAAATTAATTGGCATGGAACCCTCAAAATCTTATCAATTAGCAGAACCATTTTACATACTCGTGAAGTCAGTGAAGATTATGAAAAAAAAACCCAATCCAGAATATATGAAAATGATTAGTCCTTAGCTCTTACACCTGAATCTTATATATTAATTAATTCGCACTAAAGTAGAAATCTGAAGTACTGAAATTGCAGGATTGTTCCTTTTTTTTTCTTTTTCCCTTCATAGATTATAAAATGTGTTAAAATTACCTCTGAGGTGATGCGCAAGTCTCTTTCCTTCTCGCGTTCACGCTCCTTAATCTGTTCCTGTAAAACATGTATCTGTTTTGCAGCCTCATCCCGTTCAATTTCTCTTTCGCTTGCTTGCTCATCCAAGAATTTGCGAGTCGCTTTCAACTGTTTATCTGCCACCTCGATCTACACATATTTTGATTAATTAATGTGTGCCGCAAAGTCGACTTTGTAATACAGTTGTTATAAAAGGAAATATTCATTTCGATAGATTTAACTTGAAAAAAACAAATAAAGAACACACTGCATAAAAGCACAACAAAATCTGAAAGACACTGGTTAACAACTGAAAACTGAATTTAAAAAATATAGTTGTATCAAACAGTGTAAGCAATTCGTGCATGAAAATTTAAAAAATCGCTCCATTCGTTACTATTTAAAGGAACGCTTGATACAAATGGCAAAAATATGGATTAGTTCATGTACAGTATTAATTGTTTACATGCAAAAGGAAGTACGCCACAGTAGTTATACATGCTAGCATTAATTATGGGAAAATTATTGTTTTCATGAAACAGTATGATATGAGAATCTCCAAGTTACTAAGTATTTCGTCAATGTGAATCTGTAGCGTTATCCATTAACTATTAAGTAATGTCCATACGCAGTTAAAGTTAAGGTTAACTTACGGAACAGCTTTTATAATAGTATTAGTAATTCTATAATTTACCTTTCGGCAGCAAACCCTGTGAATGTATGAGGGAGGAGTGGGTTCTAAAGGCACCTGCCGGCAAGATAACAGAACGCCAATCAATTCTTTAAAAACTGCATCACAGAGCCGTTCAAATGTACCCGTTTATGTATATCTTTTCCGTTATTATTATTCGTTATGACAAACTATTCTTTTTAAGTACGAAATCAAAGTTGTACACACGTAATTAATTTAAAAAGAAAACATAGGTCGAAGGAAACAATTTCTTTTAATCTAATAACAGAGAACTAAGTGTGAACACTGATGCATAAATAATGAGACCAAAAAAAGAAAAAGGTCTTTGTGCAATATACGAATACTAAGCTCATAGATACAGATGAGACACTAAAAAATAATGAAGTACCATGTACAGAACTCGTTTTCAATATGCAGTACACCACAACTTTCTTGTATATAGCATACCAATTCTATATAATAAAAATACATGCAATCGGTGCACCGTTTGTCGGACGAATTTCGAATTTACCTGTTGCTGCAAATCTTCTTTCTCTTTTCTGGCGTCTTCCATTAACTTGTCGCTCTGTCTACATAGTTCTTCGATCAACTGCAACAGGTCTGTACAGTCTCCACCTCCGTTTGACAATACGTGTCTCGCTGGAAAATTAGTTTCAATCACGTGGCGTTCATCGAATCAGTAAATTCACTACTCTTACCTTTCTCCTGTAATTGCGAGAAGTCTTGGAGTGTAATTTCTGCGCCGACTTCGTCGTTCTCCCCGTAGCCTTCGGTAATTATCTCCTTTTTGCTTTCTATGTTAATCAACTTTCTTTGGAGGTCAAGAATGGTGACTTTCAGTTGCTCCGTCTCTTCCTGGTAGTTCATAATCAAGGATTCAGCTTCGAGTAGCTTCGAATTTAGCTCCTCGTTCACTTTCTTCATCCACGCGATTTCTTTTGCAAGAGCGCTATGTTGATCTTCGCTAGTGCTGGACGACATGATAGTGTTTGACGAGATACCCAAAATTTCAGCGCTCTCAGACTTCAAACGACGCACGCAGCTGTTCAATTCTTGTTTCAATTTCTCCGTGATGCCGTCATTTTCTTTCAATATATTTTGCAACGTCTCGTTATTGCTATTTATTATCGATATTATTTCAGTGGTTTGTGGGGCAAAGTGAACCCTTCGGACTTTCAATTGAGATGTATTTAATTTAAGATTAGCCTCTTTATTCTTTGATTTCTCAGCTTCATCCGTTTGCATGGTCCTCTCATTATTGACGCTGTCGCTTAATTGCCTTTTCAGAACCTCACTGATGAGAGTGTTGTTAATTTCCTCTTCGCACACGACAAAATATTTCACCAGTTCGTCGACCAAAGTTTTAAGAGTGGCACAAGTTCTGTGCAAACTATTCCTGTACGACAAAGTATACAAAAGTCATAACAAGTTTACAGAAAACAATTACATATATTTTAAAAAAATCAGAGCGTTACGCAAGCGGTATAAAACCTAATTTCAATTCATTATAATCGCCGTGCTCAATATGTTAAAATATAAATACCTCTCTTCTAAAATATTGGCATTCATAGGTACTGTTCTGTTAGAATCTTTTATTTCATTAAAATCTGGGCTGCTATCTCTGACTTTATTCAGCTCCTCTTGATGGCGATCTATCATTCTGGCTACATTGCGGGAATATTCCTCCTTCAATCGTTGCACTTCTGCGGCATGAGCATCCTTAAGTAGTTGCATTTCGCGTTTCGCATTGCTGGTGAGCTTATCGCGTAACTCCAGCAACTCTGGTGACCAAATATCGTCAACGTCCGAATCCACTGACAGGAGGGCCTATTTTCATAAACGATTACAATACAAAAACAATCAATTAGTTCCTTGTAAATATGGATCAACACTGTTTCTTCCTATAGCAAGGAGGGACGGATGTACACTTCTTTCGACTTCCACAATATAATTTGCTTATATATTCATGTATCTAAAGCTACCTGAATCTGTTCCTGAAGCGCATTGACAATATCCAATTTAGCTAGTGCAATCTGTTCTTCCAATTGATGGTTGTAGGCTGCTCGCAGTTGAGTTAATTCACCGTTTTCCAACGCACCCACATCCCACTCTGTTTGACAATGCTGCATGCACACATATGTGGTCACACAGTAGCATGTTAGTTACAAGGGGACTTGTACGATCATATTTACTTCCAGGAAACCGTTTAAGTTCCATACTGGAAGATCTACGCTTGATCAAACGCTTGACTGAACGAGTTCTATTCTATAAAACTATACGCAACTTAAACGTTAAATGCAAAGTAAAGGAACAAAAATTAAAGTGCGCATACACATGGACTACAATCATGATGAATTAAATAATCGTGCACTTCTTTTGGTAAAACTAATTACAACTTCTATACTCTACTTCATACAAACATACATCGGACCGTTCTACTGAAACGAAACGTATTGTATTTAAAGTGGAACTTAACATAAAACTGGTAGAGGAATGATCAGAGAGAGTGTCTAATTTTATTAGTAAATAATATTCAGTTCTGTGAAGAGGAAAGCAGTTTTAACACACAGAGAAAAGGTGTTCAATATTTAACACAAAAAAAAACTACTACAAATATAGTGTGTTAATTACATAAATAAAAGAATGCACAGAACGTTGTTTGTTGTACTTACCTGGGACACCACGTTTCTCAAGAATTCGTGTTTCTCGTCCCTGTTTTTATACAGCTCTCTTTCATATTTGTTCTTCTGATCGTCCAACGCCTTTTCATAGTGCAGCTTCAGCTCCTGCACTTTTATTATTTTATTTTGTAATTCCAGTTGCAATGCTTTGATAGTTGACTCCAGCTCACACTTGTTGAAACTGTTGCTGTTGTGTTTTGATTGGTCCTCGCCTAACGGAGAGGCAACTCTTGAACTACGTTCGGAGAGATTCGACGCATTTAGGCAGTCCCCGGCGCCACCGAAATATAAACTTTCTGTTAAGTCTGCTATCTCACTGTCGTTATCAGACATTTTCTTCGACTGCTGACTAAATATTTCCTCCGAATACTGTTTCTCCATCAGCAGGCACTTCTGTTCGAAATACGTTCGCAACTCCTCCATCTCTTTCGCGTGCCGTTTCTCTAGTTCTGTTTTTAAATCGTGTAGTTCTGTAGTGCCATCCTTCACGCCCAGCACCAACGATTGCACTTTCCTAATTTCTGAATTAGTTTCAGCTTTTATCGCGCTTATTTGCTCGTCATGAACGTAAATCAATGTTTCTATCTCCTTCTTCAACGATTCTTTCTCCATTCTCAATTGATTTACAGAATCCTGTAATGTAGGTAGGACCATTAACTCTTTCTTCAGGGCTATGTTTTGCTCCTCCGTGCAATGTTTTTCAGTTGCCAAGTTCTCGGCGAGGCTGGAATAATGTTCTACTTTATCTTTCAGCTCATCGTAATCAGCTTGTTTTTCTGTCAGTTGTTCCAGTTGCTTGATTAATTTTTCGTTTTCCTCTGTGGCCACTGTGAGCTTTGTTTGCAGTAATGCTACGGTATTTCGCTCCTCGTTGTTCTCATAATACAGTTTGTTAATGTCTGCACTTTGATCGTGTGTAGTGTTCACGGAGTCGTTCGCAGTTCTACCTACTTTAATTTGCTTCATCGAGGTACTATTAAAACTGGACGTCGGTAGAGAGAAGTCAAGTTTACTCTCACTCAACGCTAACGTTTGATTCAACTTCTCTTCAACCTCTGCGCACTGAGCCCATGCAGCACTTAATCCCTTTTTCAGCTGCTCGCACTCCTCCTCGGATTTTTTAAACTTTTCTGACAAATCTTGCATCTTCTTAACGGAGCTGGCAAGTTCCGCTTCTTTGTGTTCCAAAGTAATTTTAAGCTTTTTGATTTCTTGTTGGTCCTCTTCAGCTTTTTGCAATAAATCCCTTTTACTCTGACTAGATAACTTTTCATTGTCAGCTTGCGAAGAACTCTGACGATCTAAATCATGACTTTTCAATGAACTGAGCTCAGACTTGTACTTATCGCACAAGTTCCTTGTGTCTTTTAATTGCTTCTCATAGGATTTTTTGGTTAAATTTGCTTCCTCTAACTCCTCCTTCGTCTTGCGTACGTCACCTTCGAGGTTCTCAATTTTCTCAACCAGAAGCTTTTCCAATTCCGCTTTCTCGTTGAGTTTCTGCTTCGCCAAGTGAAACTGAATCGCTACTTCATCGAAACTCTGGTAAGAGGTTTCGTTAAATTCGCTCAGTGTACTCGCATTTATACCGCTAAGTCTGGACAACGATTTCTCTAAGTCAAAGATTCTGTTACTCATGGTTCGTTCGTGTGCTTGGCTATTTTCAATTAACGACTGAGCTGCTGAGTATCTCGACGATAAGTCGTCCAATTTGAATTTCAAGCTGTCATTCTCATCTTTCAATACTGCAGCGCTCGTCAAAGCCTGTTCCAAGGAACGTTCAATGCTCTCCTTAGATTCTAGAATCGCCGTTGCGGTAACGTATTTTGATGTCATTTCCTCCAGTTGTAATTTATGCAATTTAATCTGCTCACTTAACATTTCCTTTTCCTTTTGATGATCCAAATTTCTGATGTGTAGCGTATTCTCAGCTTGAACTTTCAGTTCGTTTACCTTAGCTTTGTACTGATTGAGTTCAGCCTGTGCAGTTTGTTGAGCCTCTGATCTATTCACTAACTCTAGTTTCAAAGCTTCAACGGTTTTCTTATAATGACCCATTTGTGCTTGGAATATAGAAAGTTCTTTAGCATGTCTGGTTTCCAGATCAGGTAACTCTTTATTCAAACGATCGGCTAATATTTTATTTTCATCTTTTAATTGTTTCAAGCGGTCCTCGTATTTCTCTTGAATATTCATTATTTCCATTTCGTGTTTTGCAGCTACCTCCTACGAAGGAACGTAAAACGGGTTATGTAAGCTATGTTGAAATAATTCATTATAGAAAATATTTTATGCATACTTTTAACTCCTGTTGATGACGCGCAGTGTTTATATTTGTTTCAGTCGTGAATTTTTCTAGAATATGCTGCATGTCTTGCTTTATTTTATCAACGCGTGCCTCATATTGCTTTTGCTGTTCTAAAGTCTCAGCAATGTTTAAATTCTTATCAGCTGCACCTAAACGAATCTGTTCATTTAAATTGTTTATTTGCAACTTGTAGTCATTAATCTCGGCATTTCGAGTCTCTTTCTCCATTTCTAATGTCTGTACATGTTCCTGAGTCTGCATCAACTGACCGTTTAATTTTTGTATCATCGATCTTTGGTCGTTTAAAGTGGCTTCTAAAGAGTCAATCTAAAAAAAAAATTGTATATACAATCGACTTTAGTTTCTTCTCATTTAAAATATATTACACACCTTATCCTGCATATTTGCAGTGTTTACTGTACAAGCACGATCCTTGTCTGGAATCTGCATGGCGTTCAAAGAATTCAACTGGGTAACAAGATTATCTCTGGCAGACAATGCTTGCTGCAAAGACCATGTTAATTCTTCTAATAAATTGTCACGTTTATTTATTGCTTTCTCAAACTCCTGAAACTGTTTAACAAAACAATAGAACTGCATCAGTATACAAGGTAGGCAAAAAAAATCAATTATGTAGTGCCTTTTTGTATGTATCTGTTATGTAATATACCTTTATATGATACAATGATATAATATCTCTGCCATGTATACTGCTGTTTTGACTTTGTGAAGAATTAGGAGAGGAAGCCTCAGCTCGTAAGTGATCTATCTCAGCATGCAAAGCCTCAACTATGGCTTCCTTTCCTTGTAGCATTTCCTCCAACTGAGCTACCCTCCCTGCAAGTCCTTCTAAGTCACCATCAGCTTCTCCTTCGCTCATACTAACACTGCTTTGTGTCACATCTCTTGACGAAACACCTTCATGGATCTACATTACATAAAAATATATGTCTGTAACCTCTCATGGTTTCATATACAACAATGATGCATTTCATACAATACATATTAGAAACATGTTTATGACTACTTTACTAAAACTTATTCTTACGTAAGACTCCCTGTGTCCAATAGATCTGTCATTATGAAAAGATTCTTCATCGGATGCTTCATCTGTTTGACTGTGACCACTACCTCTGGCTTTATTAATTCTTTCCGCCTTGTACTTCTCCAGCTAAGAAACATAACAATTTCTCCATAGAAGCCAATATCTATTGTCTCTATCATACATTGTCTCATTCATCAAGGTGAACAGATTTTATTACCAGAAAAGGTACAATTAAAAATGATAGAATTAAAACAAATAATTCTTTTGTAATTTAATCATTCCATCTTGGAAAATGTATACACTAATTTTAGTTCTAGGTATTCAAAGGCAGAAATAATATAACTTTAACAAGAATCATTACTTCAACTGTTTGGATACATCAAATTTTTTACTACAACATAGTTGAATACTGAAAAAAAGAATTAAAACATAAGTGGTTTTGCTCTTACGTATCCTGCTGTATCATCGCCTTCAGAGGATAAAATAATTGATAATTAAGCTTTGCAGTGATGTAACTGCGAAATTCAACCGAACGAAACTATATAAACATTGATTTCAGAGACAACCGACAATTGATCTTAAACAAAGAATGGAATTGCGAGGCTCACCATCTCTCTGCCAGCCTCCAAAGAGCGTCTCCTGCGATCATCATCGTCCGTTGCTTTACTCATTTCATTAATAAAATCAAATCGACGATCGTTTAATAGTCGACCAACAGTAGACGATGTCAATGGTTAATTGTTGAACGATCAGCAGTCCGTTCGTCATCCATTACATTTCAAAACATGTGTCTCGAACCATTCACCGTTGAACGTTTGACCGTTGTCGTCGATTTATAAAAATACGAATTGCTATAGCGTCCGTTGTCGTGTCATAGATCTTCGATGAGATAGATCATGATCCACGGTGGAAATACTCCCTTGCCAGAGTAACAGAATATTATTCGCTGCCATACGTTCATTTTCCCGAACGAAAGCGAACTCCTGGCGAGTGGCAAACGTTTTAAGTTATCTTAATGATTGAGTTTTACTCTCTACATTCCATATATAAACCTAGGTGAAATTTAACTCGTAATTTTCTTATGATTAAAGTCACCTTCATTAATCTACCGCAAGAGTATCGGTTAATAGTATAATATTTAATTTAAATTTTATTAATTAAAAGGAATAATAATACTTGGTGCGTGAAAGCTACAACAGACAGAAAGTGTCATCAGTTTTTGATAACAATTAGCTGTGTGGGTAAAATATTATGTATTAAAGTTCATTAGGACAGTGTGGAATAAAAAAAAATAATCAAGAATCATGTAATAATTAAATATTTAATGAAATAATTAATAAGGCGGGAAAAGGTATAGTGATTGGATGATTCCTTGCTTACCGATTACCGATAGTTCTTCATTATCGACTATTGTCCATCTAATATTTGATATATATCTAATTTATCATATCACCTAGTATATTTTCTTTTTATAAACAATTAAGTAGTAACAAAAACTGAACAGAACATTTAATATTCAATCATCCAAAAACATTCATTTAATCATAAAAGCAACAGTTCCTTAAACTTAACAACCTATTAAAACTAAAACCAAGTAATCTAAAAAAACAAATAAAATTTATTTCTTACCGACTCCTTTCCAAAAATCCAACAACGCTATCAGTTGATAAAACAGAACAATACTTAACCAACAAATTTCCCAATTCCCTACAGATGGCGCTGTCGTCTCTTCAATCGCCTTTCATAATCGACATTAATAAATAACTTTCGCACCAGCACACGATAAACTAATTTCCATCCATTAAAAAACTCCTCCGACCATTGACTGGATTACTCAAAATTACTCACTGGGTAATCTAAATCCGTTTCCACAGAACCAACCGCGGAAAACACATTCGAACGGTATCCGATGACTCCGCCATTCGAGTCACCGAAGCTTTTCAAATTCGCCGCGGAGTGCGCACGCGTCGTATCAGACGCAGTTCGCGGCAGGTGCGCCGTAAGTCCGGCACGGCGAATGCGATCAGTTGTTTCCGAGCATTCGAACGTGCGGTTTGTTGTTCCCTCGTTGTCGGTTGTTTATTTCGTCATCGGAACAGGGCTCGAGGAACGTCGACGGACCGCCGTGTTCGACGACGGCAGTTTTCAGTGCAGTTCGCGTGGTGTGAACGTTCAGTGTCACTGGTTTCTTCCTTCTCGAGCGAAGTACATGCTTCCGCAGTGACGATAGGTGGTCCGCCGTACAATCGAAGAATGTTGGATCGCGATACTGCGATACATCTCATTGCCGGAGGGTGGGTTTCGCTTTTTCCCCGTTTCCCCGACGTTTTCAGCGAACATAACCCTCCCGAGACGCGTCCGCGAGCCACGCCGGCTGCCTCGGACGACTCCGCGCAGAGATAAGCGTATTTTGCGTAGCGGGCAGCACGCGTGAAACACGAGCCGAATCCGTGCGTGTGTTTCGCGCGGTCGTTGGAAACACGTCGAGAGGGATGATTCCCCACGTTTAACACTTACAGATTATATAACTCGATTATGCTGTTCGAACTATGATTACTCGCGTCCCGGTCGTGTGTTCGACGATGTTTCCCCATCTCGCCTGACAATAGCTATAGGGTATCCGTTAATTGAGGACGTTTGTGGAATTTTTGTCGGTGACTCGAGGATCGACCGCGTGCGAAATTCACTGTTTTTATGAAAAGCTTTAGTACGTTTTGGGTGATGTCGCAACCCTTGTATTTTTTTTGTTATTTTATTGTACTGGAACGTGAAAGGTTGATTTGTTGAGGTATAAATATTGAGAAAAATATTCGTGGAAGTTGCAACAATGAATGAGAAAGGCATTTCGTGGTTAAGAATACTACGACATTGTAGCCGGCATGATTTACGTCATCCCGTGCCGGTCCTATTGTGTATGTGTACAGTTTGGTACACTGGGTCACGAAAACATTCGACATTCGCAGACAGGGATTATGGGAACTCCACGTTTTCAAAATATTGATACGGCGACAGTGAGGATATTGTCTGAAGAGAAGGAAAAATCCGAGGAATGGCTTGTTAGCGGTGCGAAGTTATTCGTAGAGCAAATTCTTGTTGCATCATTAGACCTTTGGCGCTAATTACGTATCCGAACCGATGGTCCGTGCTATGTACTGATCTTTCACAATCTATTTGGTGGTATTCACAACCGATGCACGCGTTACCAAATCTGTCGGCTTCGTAGGTATATATACAACAACAATAATAATGACTATAATAAAAATA